TGATGAATGAATGGTGGTATAGAAATGTAGGGTTGTTGGCTTCCTTTCAGTCACTGAGATTGCATCCTTACTTTTCTAAGGGGGGGGGTTCTTTCTTTTTTCCATCTTGTTGAAAACTGAAGTGGAAGATTTCTAAAAACAAAAAGTGGTCTTTAAGGAAATTGTTAAAGTCTGCCTTCTGGATCTGTAGCTGTCCTTGGCTTTGGAAGTCCATGTTCTGGACTTCTAAGCCTTTGGTTTAAGATTAACCTGCCTTTGGAGTTTACTTGAAATAAGTAGTGATGATGATTTATATGTAGTAAAGAAGGTGAATTTTGCTAACTTTCTTTAATTTTTCATGTTTGCTTGTTTACTAGCTGATATGTAGCTTTATTAATAACCAGCTAGAGTAGTTGGAACCTTGTACCTAGTTGCAACATAGGCTAACATGGCAAATCTTTTAAATAAGAACCTGAATTGAAAGTAAAATGCTTAGATAACATTTTAAATTAACACACAAACAGAAGTAGCATTTGTAAAAGTTGGTCACTGTGTATATGTTGTGAAATTCTAAAAGGTCTGTTCTCAGTATTGGTAAAAGTAATGGCATATTTTCCTCTTGTTTTTTGCTTGGGTGCAATGTTTAGTGGTTGGATTGAGCTGCAGCGATAGCTACTCACATTTGTTACAAGAATACTTCTCATAGGTTGCCATTTAACTATTCTTAGTGATGTCTGCTGGAGAGAGAGATCACACATGATAGATAATGAGACAGGAAAAAAGTGAAGAAAAGATGGAAATTAGTTTAGAGATGTGTGGTGGTTTTTTTTTTTTCACTCCGTGCTGGTGAATAGATAAATGATAGGCTTATTCCTCTGCTGTCTTTACATGCTGGTAATATAAATATTGTTAAGTTCCCTGACTGGTCCATAACAAGTTATATACCAGTCAGAAGTGTATCCTAGAAATCAGTGGGCCACAAGCCACTGTTCTGTGCCTGCTCTGGAAGGGGGTGTTTGAAGGGCAGAGACTCCATGGAGATCTCATTTCTGGGCCAGGTGTACAAATGCTTGCACATGAAATTTGGTCGTGCTGGAAAGTAGGAGTGATTAGCAATGGGCTTCAAACTTCAGCGTAAAAACTGATGTGGTTATGGAGATGTGTGAAGCAGTGCTGCATTTAAACAGGAGCATCATATGAGACCCAGTAATGCCAGTGAAATATGGTGCTGTTGCTTCAACTCCGGATTTCCTGTAGGTGTTACTGAAATGCTTTTTGGGGGAGCACTTAAAGGCACTTTTGTAGATACAGTAATTACTGAGGTTTGTAAGGCAACACTGAGTCATTCTTCAGGACTGGTGAAATTTATTAAAAAAAGGGTTGGAACAGATGGGTATTTAGAAATATACAAATAAAACTAGGATCCTGTACTTTGTACTTCAAATAACAGAATACGCAAATAGGAAATAATGGGTTTCTGTGTGGAGCCTTGCAGATCTCTAGGAGCATTTATGGAAATAATTAGATTCTTGCAAATCATGATGGCCTATTAATGGAGAACTACTTTGAATTGGTAGGAGCTGGATCCGTGTAATGCTGGTTTTACAATGAGAGCAAACTGGTGCCTTTAGCAAATTCCTTAGTGGAATCTTTGTAACAACTGTTGCAAGACCCCAGGTGCTTTCTGCTGTATTGCTAATGAATTCTTGTCTTGATAGGAATTACACTGAAAGGTTTAGTCAGCAAATGCAAATAGGTAGCAAAACATGCCTTTGACTGCTTAGATACATCTACAATGTCATATAACTTCAAGTTTACATTGAAGTCATTGGAATATTTGTTTGTTTCTTTGGAAATGGTAAGAGATGGCAATTGCCCGTGTACCTTTGAGCTGATGGTAAGGACAGAGGAACTAGATAATTACTTAATATACTATATTTGAGTGTTAAGTGCTGGAAATCTTGCCTTGTCAAACGTGGTATCTCTATATGCATTGAGAAAATGCGTTTTAGAAAAACTGAAAAATCTGCTAAAAAAGCAGGGAAGGAAAAGAGAAGAAAGAAAATTAAACAGCCTTAGGAACTTTCATAATTTTTAAAAGACAAAACAAATGCAGTGTATGATAGCTCTTCTTTCTGGTATGCTCCTTCATTTAAAGATGAAGCTGAGACTGATGATGATGTCCACAGCCCAAGGGTCATTGATGTCACTCCTGGAGCTTAGGTAGTACAATAGGTAGTATGTTGTCAGAGAGGGAATTTAGTACTAATCTTATGTAGTCTGGGGGTTTACTTGCTAATGACCTTGAATAATTTCTTTCATATACTTCTAAAACATTTATTTTGCCTTCACCTGAGAATTGTTAATGGGGTTATTCAAAGCAGTGCTTTCCCTAAAAGAAGCACTTGAGCTTCTTTGTTGATTTCTCATATACAAGCTAGTGTACTTTTTGGTCTTCCTTTGTCCCCAAATTGGGAATTCTATTTCTGAAACGGTCTTTCTGTTTCCAAGCCATCATTAAATAATGCTGTAGTGGTGCTCAACAGATGGGCAAGTATTTTTATTTCTATGTTCTGATATTAAACTTATTCATGAGACAATAGTTTTAAGAAAAGCTTTCAGTAAGAGGAGGCTAATTAATTAAACCACTTACTGTTGGAAGAAAAAAGAGGAGAGTTTGATTCTTTTGTATCACTATGTTTTCTAAGATAATATTATGTTTCTGGTATTGGTGGAAGAAAGGCTTGTTCCATGCCCCCTGGGATAAGTCCATCCACACAGTCCAAGAACATCTTGTGTTTTGAGACAGGAAAACAGAGAAGACTGATCAGGGATTGAAAACAGTGGTGATGGAAATGCTTGATCTTTCAGAGGTTATAAGGTTATTTGTGTTACTTTTATTTGGAGGAGAGTTTGGTCTTGAAGCAAATCACCTCATTGTCCCTGTTTATCATGCACATTTGCTTGTTTTCCAGAGTGGTTTCAGTATGTGCTAACTAGGCGCCTTTCAAAAGTCATTCTGCTCCTTGCATGCACCAAATGTACTTTAATCCTTGATGGGGTTGTAGGGCTTAGACTAGTTATTGGTCTTTTTTGGCAGCTTTGAACCTCCTGTGGTAGGGTTCAGTTCAGGAAGCTTGAGTAAATGTGCCCTGCAAAAACACCTCCTGGGCTTCGTATGATATAGATGTGAAGACCTCAGCAGCAGCTGTGTTTCAATCTGTTCCAGTTGTGCCAAATTGTTAATGCAGATATAGCCTAGTGCTGCTTATTGTGGGTTTGTGTGGGGTTTTTTGTTGTGTTTTTTTTTTTTTTTTTCAAGTAACATCAGACTGGTGATGACTAATTGTCAGGGTCTCTTAACCTTGTCAAGTGTTTGGAGATGGTAATGTTTTTAAATCTGCCTCTGTGACAGTTTGTATTTTGGATGGAACTTGCCAGACCTTTGGATAAGTGCTGTATTCATTAAGTGAGGTACCAAAAGGTCCATTCAGAATGTTCTTGCCAATGGTTTTGATCTGACTGGTGTTCAGGGGTATGCAGAGGGGAGAGAGCAGAAGATGCATGTTTGGAATGTAATGGTGTTGTAGGAACCCACAGCTGGTGCTGAGATCATGATTATAGCTTAAAAGCCAGCACAAAAACTGGGAATCATATTGCAAAATAACAAAGCCTTATCACAGCTACTGAGTCTTCTCCTTCATTCAGTAAATATCCACAGTGGTATGTGTCCCCTTTTCCTGTGGATAGGAGGAAATTAATTTCTCAGTGCTAAAGTTACTCTTTTGGTCATCTGTGCTAACTTTTGTATTTTGTTCATATATTGGAACTTGCAATGTGGTGGTCTTAAAATAATTATAGGAAGTGCAGAATCTTCATATAGTTTTCCTTTCAATTATTCAACTTCATCCTTTTAAACTTATCAGTATCCCATACTCTGTTCCTTTCCTCCCCCTCTGTAGCTGTTTTTTTTTTTTTTCCAAACTCTGAGATTTCTTTGTTTCTGAAATGAAACATTTTTGTCAGATTAAAATGACAAAAATTAAAGTGAATCTCAAAACTGCAGGACCACTTGACTATAATCAGTGCTCTTAGAGGAAGTTAGTCTGCTTTCCAACCCTGGCAAGTGCCAGGGGTGGGAGAGGGGGACTGCAGAGAAGTTCAGCCCTTGGAGCAATAAGCAGAAGCAACATGCCAGTTCAGGCATGACTACCTGTGACTAGAAAAGTTGTGTGAAAGATGGCTTGGTATTTAGTGGACAAAAGAAGAGCTTAGGGAACCATGATTGGTTTCAGTGATTGCATGTATTCAGTACATTAACTTTCTTTCATTGACATTATTAGTGGTTAATTGACATTGACATTAGATGTGGTGCTTAGGGACATGGTTTAGTGAGTTAGGTGGTGTTGGGTTGGACTTTGATGATCCTTGAGGTCTTTTCCAACCTTAATGATTCTATGATTTATAGTAAGTTGCCAGAAAAACATGTGTTTTTGGAGTTCAGTTCATAGCAGTTCTCTAGGTGGCAGAGATAGAAGGAACTTGTGAATATCAGCTATGGTGAAATCTTCTGGAGATGGGCTCTTCAGAGCATTTAAAGGCAAAGCATTATTCTGAATTAGCTCAGGTGGTTTGACTTCTGGAGCTTGATCCTGTAGTTTAGCAAGCTTGCTGTGTTAAAATAGGTGTTACAAAGCATATAATCATGGCTTGTCATTTCCTTTAGCATTTCTGTGAGATTTAGTGAGGTTTTATTAACTGCCATGTTCTCTGGTTGTAAAACTTTCTTGTTGAGTATGGAGTTCGCAGCAAGACGTGCAGGGCAGCGCTGCTCACGCAGAGCAAATTGCTGGGCTGTCGGGTGACGGCAGCCTTGGCGCAGCTGTTGGCAGGGCAGGCAGCGCCTGCTGCCTTCTGCCTTACCCCTGTGGCTTCTGCTCAGGCTCCAAAACCCCCACACAGCTTCCAGCACTGGCCGGGAGCAGGGAGGAGGTTATGGTTCAGGTCTTCAGGGTGATCCAATGGGAATTGCGTTGATGTGGTGTTTAGCTGTGATCCTTATCAAATGGATTGCTTCTAAGGTAGGCCATTTTATTGTTCTGTTTTGACTTACTAGGTTTGTGAGTAGCCTGAGAGAAAACAAGTCATTAAGAACTTCCCGAGTACTTATTTTTCTTTTTTAAATCTAATCTGTTTTGGAAACACATCATTCATCGTTTAAGATTGTGCTTCTTAAGTGTTCCTACATGATTTTGTTGCTCTCGACTTTTGCCTGCTTTGAAGTGGGAAGAGTGTGTTTGTAGCAGTGCCAGTTAGGAGACAGAGAAAAGGGAACTGAACAGCTTCTGAATGGCAGGAGTTTGCTTGCCTACTTTACTAACAGATATACAATTTTATAATGCTTTAAAGGCTTTGTGAAAACAAGGAAAAACAATTTTAAACATAGGGAGAATAAAACAAATTAGCACATTTTGCTTCCTGGACAGGATATCCTTTTTGTATTGTGGATTTCAGGGTTACGCGAGTGGAAATACCAGTTTTGTTTGCTTAGGTGAAATACTGGCTCCTTCACTTACTTTGTACCCTCTCCATGTGAAATGTTGGTGTTTTAAAAAATGGGTGATAATGTGAGACAAAACTAGGAGTTCCTACTCTCTCGTTCTGAAGAATGTAAGTATCCCCATAATGTATATTGTGGTAGTAAATGTTGGTGGGATTGGTGTCTGGAGATGAGACCAGGCTCTTCTCAGCATAGCATGCTGCCTACCCTGGAATTAATTCCAAAAGGAGGAATAAATTTAAGTTTAGGACTTTGAAGGAGGGCCAGAATAATTGGGTAGAATGAGGGAAACAGAAAAATAATAAATTAAGAGTTCATGCTTTTTTTATGTAGATAGTTTTTTTATTAATATACAATTTTAACATTTTTTGTACAATTAACAGGAGAACCTGAACAAACATGCATTTGAGTTTGTTGTGAAGACAAGCTTTGCCAGGTATCCATGCATGTATCCTTCAGTCGTTGCCAATAACACAGTCCTAAATTTACTAAAAACAAATGGCCAGGCTTACTTGCTAGCACTTCTGATAACTTTTGTTGCATCAAGAAAAAGACCAGGATACGCTAGTGGATATTCACTTGTGACTGAAGGCAGATTCTAAATGACAAAGTTTTATAGCTGGTGTGCTAGCCTAGTACATCATCCACATTTTACTGGTATATTGTCAAATTGCTGGTTTTCTGAAACTTGACATAAAAAGCCTGCTTAAGGATTGTCTGTAACGCAGTTTGCTCAAAGATTCTGTTAAGGTGGAAAAAAAAGAATTCTAGGTAGTTGACGACATACAGTTAAGCATAAAAACCTCTGCTGTTTATGATTGTGTTTTTAAATGTGCTAATGGTTGTTTCTTTTAAAGAATTCTTTTTTGTGTGTGTTCATACAATTATGCTACTTTGCTGTTGCTTTTGATTCTTGCCATTCTGGTTTAGTTTCTAAAGGTAATACTCCTATGTGTTTCTGTCTTCACTTGTCAGTCACTTGTGCCTTTTTTGACTGTGCTTTCTTTTCTAATTGATTTTGAAGCTTTTGTATATTCTTGTTAAATCTTGAAGCTTTTATGTTGATAAAACTTTGGGTAAATCTTATAATGCCACATGGTGTGTATATATATATCTAAGGTGTATAAGAGAAAATATCTTACAGATGCTTGTTAGATGTATGTATCACTAACATTGATAAGTATCATTCAAACAACAGCTGAGTTTATAAATGATTGTCATCTGTCTTGGGAGACAATCATGGAATAGCTTTATATGGAAGAAAATACTGAAATTGCCCCATTCAGGTATTTGCTAAACTTTGAAAATACTGCTTTGAACTCTAGTGAAATGTTTAGAAAATAGTAGTAGGACTGTTTTGTAGTGGCTTGCCTGAGTTCAGTGGCAGTTCAAGTGCTTTAAAAGAACATTTCCAGTGCTTTAATGACTAAAAACTTGGTGATGCCTTGTGCAAAACTGTGGAACTTGCATTAGCATGGAACTTCTAATTACTTGAAATAATTCTAAGAGTTATGATAAATGACAGTCTTGCTTTTGAAATGCAATAATAGTTGGAGAAATCTGGTCTAATTAGTTTGTCATTCTAGGGACTTCTAGTTGACAAACTCTTGGAAACAATCTAAGATTCTAAGTGTGTATATTTGAGGCAGCGTAACAGTAAATTGCAGTTGCCATGATATAACAGCTTTTCCAAACTTGTTCTCAGTTTCTCTTTCTGAAGACAATTCTCTGATTGTTGGGCAAATAACTTGGGCAGAAAAGCCAAGTAGGTAAAAACATCTGACTGTGTTGCAGTCCTCTGGCTTTTTTTTCCCAGGTTCTGAATGAAAACTGAGTCGAAAAATGGCAGTTGGTTACTCCATCAAATGCATAGATGGTTCTTTTTTGTGGGAGGTACTGAGGTACTGAATTTTGAAGGCCAACAGCTCTACCAGTTTGTTTCTGCTGTTACATAAGTTGATCAGCAGTTGTTTTGCTAGCTGGCGCTTGCTGAGATGAAGTGGCCAACAGTAATGCTGGTGCTCTTCTCTGAACTGGATTGGGAAGTTCTTGTGATAAAACTGGTACATCGATGGAAAAGTTTGTTTGGCACAAACAGCAGCAGATGCTCTGTTTCCAAGTGTTACATCCATGTGCTGTACTCCTTGGCATCACTGAAGTGGTTTCCCTTTGAAGATCTATCTATATCCTATCTTGGCATGTCATTCCTGTTGCACGGCCTTTAATAACTTCCTATGCTCTTGTGAAAAGATTTTCAGAAAGATCTGGCTTAAATCTCTTTTAGTACATAATCTCTTTACCTATTTTTGTGGAGTCCTTTTATCATTGTTGTTCTAAAAGGGTTAATGGATCTTCCATTTTAGTTTGAACTTCTTCCATTCACTTTCCATAAAGATGTGACAAAAGAGAGGAGAAATGAAAGCTTTTCTTATTGTATTGCCCTTTGGAAAACGACACTCTAGTATGAAACGGAAATTTAAGGTGAGGTTTTCAAAGAGGAAGTCCAGTGTAAACAATCACGTGGAAAATAAGGTGATTTGTTGCAGCCAGCATGGCTTCACTAAGGGCAAATCGTGCCTGACAAATTTGGTGGCCTTCTACAATGGGGCTACCGCGATGGTGGATAAGGGAAGGGCAGCCAACATAATCTACCTGGACTTGTGCAAAGCATTCGATGCTGTCCCATGTGACATTCTTGTCTCTAAATTGGAGAGATGTGGATTTGATGGTTGGACCACATGGTGGATAAGGAATTGGCTGGATGGTCACACTCAAGGAGTTGTGGTCAATGGCTCAATGTCCAAGTAGAGACCGGTGACAGGCAGGGGTCAGTACTGGGACCAGTGTTGTTTAACATCTTTGTTGGCGACATGGACAGTGGGATTGAGTGCACCCTCAGCAGGTTTGCTGATGACAGCAAGTTGTGTGGCACGGTGACACACTGGAGGGAAGGGATGCCATCCAGAGGGACCTGGACAGGCTTGAGAGGTGGGACCATGCCAACCTCATGAAATTCAACAAGGCCAAGTGCTGCACATGGGTCAGGGCAATCCCAAGCACAAATACAGGCTGGGCAGAGAATGGCTTGAGAGCAGCCCTGAGGAGGACTTGGGGGTGTTGGTTGATGAGAAGCTGAACATGAGCTGTCAATGCACAGTTGCCACCCAGAAAGCCATCAGTGTCTTGGGTTGCATCAAAAGAAGTGTGACTGACAGGTTGAGGGAGGTGATTCTCCCTCTCTACTCTGCTCTTGTGAGACTGCGCCTGGGGTACTGTGTCCAGCTCTGGAGTGCTCAGCACAAGAAGGACATGGACCTGTTCAAGCGAGTCCAGGGGAGGGCCACTAAGATGATCAGAGGGCTTCAGCACCTCTCCTGCGAGGACAGGCTGAGAGAGTCGTGATTGTTCAGCCTGGAGAAGAGAAGGCTGCGAGGAGACCTTGCAGCAGCCTTTCCAGTACCTGAAAGGGGGCTACAGGAGAGATGGGGGACGCAAACTTCATCACGGAGTGTAGTGACAGGACGAGGGGTTATGGCTTTAAGCTGAAAGAGGATAGATTTAGATTAGATATTAGAAATTTTTGACTGTGAGGATGGTGAGACACTGGCACAGGTTGCCCAGGGAAGCTGTGGATGCCCCATCTCTGGAGGTGTTCAAGGCCAGGCTGGATGAGGCTTTGGGCAACCTGGGCTAGTGGAGGGTGTCCCTGCCCACGGCGGGGGAGTTGGAATTCAATGATCTTTAAGGTCCTTTCCAACCCAAACCATTCTATGATTCTATGAATCCTTCCTAGTCATCTTTTACACCTGTCTTCAGTGCTGAAGCAGACCAGCTTATCCCATTCAGATGGCTGTGCTCATGTCTGGAAAGGATTTGAGGAATTTGTTGAATCACTTGGAGTTCAGCAGATATTTCCACCAGACCAAGTTGTCCTTGTGCTTGAAAAGGGAACGTGCCTAAGCATGTTAGGGTTGTCGTCAGTTTGAGGGCTAGTAATTCTGCCTGCCTGTTGGAATGATGCTTATTTGTTTCAGATTTGTACAGAGGGTCAAGGAGTTCAATATGCTTTAAGGTTGTTAATAGGTACAAAGCTTCAGGTTGACCAAAGAGGTGTCAGAGTTCTAGAAATAAAACTCTACGCTAAATGAGTTAACAGTGTTAACAATAACGTGATATTTTGAAGTGCCAGAAGTCGAGCTCTGTCCATGAAGGTTTTAGCCAAGGTTTCTGCAGGCTTGTACAGTCTATGCTACAGTCATCTCAACCGTGTAAGTATGGTAAATTTTTAGTGTAAGCACAGTCTTTGGGTAGTAATGAGGGACGAGGCATTTCTGGCAGTCACCAAGGGTAGAATACTGGTGATTAAATTGTTTGAACTGCTGAGCACTTTACAGGAACTTTAGGTCTTCAGGATGTTTTGTCTTTCTGCTTATAAATTTGCTGCACGTGACAGTTCACATCTTAATAGAAGCTGATGCATTAAATCTGTTTTTCTGTTTGCTGGGTTTAGCAAGTGGAATCGGGGCAGAGTATTTTAAAGAACCACAAGCAGGGTGGATTAATTTACTTCTCTTTTTTTGCTTTCTTTCATTTTTCTGAGTAGTGTAGGGGGTAGTATAACTAATACACTGACAATATTATTGGAAGTGGGAAAATAGGTGATATACCTCAGCCTGCAGTACGTAGTCTATTACCTGTTCAGAGCATGAGCTGGCACAAAGCAATCCATGTCTGAGTAAGTGTAATATTATTTAATTTACATAACTGTCACAAGTTGCTAAAAACCTCTGTACTATAAGCTCCCTCTGTCTGTGACTACCCACCTCAGTGCTCCTAACTACTTCACTTATTTGCCTGGTCTGAAGGTACAAGGTCTGACCACTCATCATCCACCCTGTATCTGCCCCTTGGTGGAACTTGATAATTGTTTTCCTCTTATTTATTTTATTTTAAAAAATTAAATTAAGGAAGTGTGTTTAGGACACTCTACCAGTTTAGCAGAATTAGCTGAAGTTGTCCTACTGCTTTTGAAGCATTATTATTAAGGTTTACACAATAGATTGGTTTCCTAAGGAAAAAGAGATGAACTTTGAAGGGTAATTTTAAAAGGATTTGATTGTTCAAAGATTCCTCTGAGATCTTTCAGAGTCCTTGCAGAAAGAAATCGCTTGTTTGTATAAAGAATTGGTTTATATTTTCACAAATATTCTTTGTGTTTGCTATCATACATGGATGTACTACTTTATCTAGCAAATAATATTTCGTATTTTAGAGAGAAAGTAATATTTTAGAATCAATGTATCAAGAGGATGTTTTTTTTTTTCAGTAAATTTTTGCATATTGTTTTCCTTCTCAGAGATTAATGCTCCATGTGGGTATGGTTGTTCTAGCTGCATGTGGGCTTAGCTTCTCCTGTATTAAATTACAGAACTGTATTGACCATGTCCAGAAATTTGTGATAGGTGGAAATTGCAAGTTAGCACTAAACTACATCACTGATTGTGCCCAGTCCATAATATGAAATGTTCAAGGCTACTGAAAATATATGCATCTGAGATTTGCTGAAACCCAAAGGTAGGTTATATGAAGAAATTTGAGAATGTTAGTGGGAAATGAGCATTATTTTTTGCTGATGAGATGTATTGCTGCCTTTCCCATCAGGACAGGCACATAGCTGTGAGAAATGCTGTACAAACATATTTAAGGGAAGAATTATTTGCATGGTTTATGATCTTCCAAGGAAATACAGAACAAAAGTTCAGACAACATAAAAGTGCTGTACAGGGAGTTCTTCCTTATAGTCTTTACAACAGCTACTATAATTGGACCCCATTTGGAGCTAGGTCTTTGGTCATTTCTGTAATTAAATTTTAAGCTTACCTTTGGAAGAACTTCTCTGATTTCAAGTGTGTTTCTTGTTTTAACATGAAAGATATTAAAACAATTAAGTGTAAGTTCTGGGTTAGCAGTCAACGCATCACTTGTACAAATCATGCTGATAGAGGTTATTAGTCTCTAGTCTGTGTGCATTCTTTGGTAAATGTTTATAAGCGGTTTAGCCTTTTTTTCCCCTTCCAAGTAATTTGTTTCTTTATCTATTTTTCTTTCTTTTAGAATTCTTCTAAATGTCCAACATGTATTTTTCTGTGCTGTTTTCTGAAATAGTTTGGTTTCCAGTCTTTTGAACTTGGGCATTTTCAGGTTGTTGTGTGTCACTGGTGCAGTGTTGTTCCTGCTAGAAAAAAAAAGTGACTGCGTTCACCTCTAGGTTAGCTTTTATCTGAAGTTCTCAAAGGAGTATGATAACCCTTTGTGGCAGCTTTACTGTCCTCAGTGTAAGTACGTGTGGTGGACACAGAAAGGTCATAGGCGTTTTTAACGCGCACGCATGCACGCAAATCTTATTTCTTTAAAGAGCAAATGTTGTGAACTGGCAAAATTGAAGTCTGATTGCATAAGCGATCCTCTGATCCTAGGATTAAGAAATAACATTAATGAGTGTTAATTTTATTAATGCCCTAGGAAACAGCAGAAGAGGTGAAAGTACAGTAAAGGCAAGGCACAAGGTGGGGTGCTAGGTCATGCCAAGCTTTGAAGACTACATGATGCCAGTGTTGTGTAACTATGAGAACATTCCCCCAGTTTTTAGCTATTAGAGGAACAGTTCCCCACACCTGTGGGAGACTTCCTGGCTTATAACTATTATCACATTAGCTGAGTATGTATGGAACATACATCTCTTTGGTAGGTAACAAATACAGCTTATATGGGAGTATCTTGATATTGTGCATGGATAGCTTGATGACTGTTTCAGACTTCTGTCATCAAATGTGAAATACCACTTGTTTACCCATTATATGTTACATCCTGCTTCAGTGGTACCTTGATTTGCCTACAGAAAGTACTGAGTGGAATGAAAGTAGCATCTGGCAGCCAAGTCCTGCCCTTGCAGAATATAGGTTGAATTCCTAGGACTGCAGTAATGAGAAATTTTGTGTTCTTCTTTTAAAAGGACTTTTAGCTTTGAAAGATGGAAATACCCCCTAGGTAAAAGGAAATAAACCAGGAACTGCAAGTATTTGTTTTAAGCATTACATTCTAGAAGGCTATGAGGATCACATTTTTTGTGTCTGCTTAATCTTTTTCTGCCTTTTGTTTTTATTGTGAGGAATGATTGGGGAAAGAAATTTAGGAGGGGTATTTTTTTCCACACTCTGGTCCTGTTTTTCATAATCTCTTTACTACCAATTCCTGTCCTTCCTTTGTCACCTCTGCAAACAAAATCAGTATATATGTATTTGAAAGATGCATGTTCAAATTTCCAAAATTAATTTTGAGAGTTAAATTGGAAATGGGAAATTGATACTTTATTTTCATTTCAATTTAAAATGATTCAGTTCTAACTTCTGTTACATGCACCTTTTTTTCAGAGACGTGGAGCAATTTCCTATGACAGCTCTGATCAGACTGCGTTGTACATTCGTATGCTAGGTAAGCATACCAGTTTCTGTATTGCAAAGTTCTGATGTTAATGATAAATTTAAAAATTATTTTTTCTTATATTTGGGTGTTGAATTCTTGAACTTATAATTCCCTTTTTCCTGGATAATATTCTGCTTAGATTCTTTAGAATAGTTTGAGTTCTTTTGTGTTGACTTGGGTTTTTTGGTTGTTTGCCTTTTTTCTTTTTTTCTGAGTTAGCCATTGTGTCAGATGTTTTACTCCTGTATGTAAAAAATAAAAAGTTCTTACAATTAACCTAACATGTTTGGTAGAAGTTAAGTTTTCCAGGTGTTTCATGATTGATCTTTATTTCTGTGATGGAATTTATCGTCTTGGCATGATATCCTTCTGGTTAAAACTGCAGCTTAGAGAACATTTGTGTGAGAGTTACCACATGCTTGTGAAAACTTAAGTACTGAGGCTATGAAATGCTCAAGGGGTTCTTAAAATAATGGTATAATTCTAAACAATACTTCTTGTACTACTTCTAGAAGATGACTTGAGAAGGGAAAGGACATGTGACAGGGCCAGTAGTTTAGTCAGCTTACTGAAGAGTGTTTCCAGAGTAGCAACTAGATAAAGGGTAAAGCAGAATTAAAATGGGAGGATAGTATTGAGAGGGGCAAGCATCCAGGGGAGACCCTCTGTGATAGTGAGTGCACAGAAAAAAAGGAGGAGAAAGATGCAAAGCTCTTGCAGGTCTGGCTGCCGGGTTCAGGCTGCTGGTGGTGCAGATGGCATGGGGACTGTGTATATACTCTCAGTCTGTTTCACTGCAAAATTACTCCACTTAATTTAAGCCATCTTGAGCTATGATTTTGTGTTGAAATGGACTACGAATGCTTGCATGATGTCTCGCACAGCTCAATGAACATCAACAGCTAGTGATTATAAATTGTTAACTGACTCCAATGACATCAGCCAGAACATGTCTTTTTATGCTCTGAGTCTTTCCAGTTTAGTTTTATATTGTACTTATTAAAGTCCCCAGAAATTCGTAACTATGAATTTAAAGTTGTAAGTTATATGCATGTGTACACGTGTGTATATATATGAATTTAGTCATAACCTATGTATGTAGGCATATGCGTACATATGTATACATAAATCCAGTTTTGACTTAGCATCTTCATGGTTTTGTTTTTCAATTATTTTGATTTTTAAGTTTGTGAAGTTGTTAATACTATAGCACTGTCTACTGAAGGATTTTTGATTATGCGTACATATGTATACAAAAATCCAGTTTTGACTTAGCATCTTCATGGTTTTGTTTTTCAATTATTTTGATTTTTTTAAGTTAGTGAAGTTGTTAATACTATCGCACTGTCTACTGAAGCATTTTTGATGAGAGAATGTAATTACTTTGGAGATTTGTTAAGAGGAGGACAGAAGATGCTGGCTTCTAAATATCTATTGAAAAAGCTGAGTTTTTTTTGTTGTTGGATATAGGTTTATTTAATTTTCAAAAATTAAAAATAACTTTTGGATTTTTAATAATCCTTTTTGCAGGAAGGAACAGTAGAATTCTTCAAAATGTGATTTTTTTTTTTTCTGCGCTAGTCATAATAAGAAAGTAAATTCAGACCTGGGGTGGTTTTGTTTCCTTGATTTTGTTTTTTTTTTTCTGCGCTAGTCATAATAAGAACGTAAATTCAGACCTCGGGTGGTTTTGTTTCCTTGATTTTGTCATACTTTTAAACTAAATTTATTTTGTGCTGTAACTAGAAAGTACAATGTTTTTGCTGCTTCAAAATCCTACGAATTGAGTACTTTTCATTTCACAGCAGGGGAAATATGTATTAATTTATTTCAAAATTGCACTGATATGCTTGAATTAACGCTACTGTAAGTTATATGCCTGTGTGTTTATCTTTTTAAAATTAATCTGCTAGTGATAGAAACTCAGCTTGTAAGAAAATAATTCTTAGTTTCTGGGGAGTATAATCTGATTTCTTTTGCTACTTTGGAAGTTTAACTGTACCATAAAGTAGTTAGGCCCATCATTTCTGCATAAAGGTTTGTGATAATGCTCAAGTAAATCAAGAGGGAAGCAAAGCATAACTTCCTGTGGTTCTTGTCATATACACCTGAACTGAGGGGAAAATGTAATTTGTTTTGAAATCTTTCTTTGACTACTCTCATAGGCAGAACTGGAACATATTCAGAACGTGTTTTCACTTGTTCTCTCATGGGAATTAATTAGACTGTTTGGTGCTTTTTATGAATAGCGTAACTCTTGCTGGCCTTTGTTGCTGTTCAATGATGCTGGCTGTTCAGAGGCAGGATGTCTCTTAAAGGACTGACCTCTCCTAACTTTGGCTGGGGGGAGGAGGGTGCCAACAACCAAACAAAAAGTGGCTCAATGGATGTTTGAATCAGTATGCTAAATTTGTATTACTTTCTCAGTTGTTGGTGATCACTTTGTTTTCCCAAATGTTATGTACACTACACTGTACAAGTTAGCAACTATTTCCAGATTTATTAGTGTTGTATTTGTAAATGGACTGTAGAAAAGACCAGCCTGAAAGCTGAACAGTTGGACACATCAGTATGTAGAAACATTCGTAACAGACCAGGTTCAAGAATGAATATGTTCATTTAGAGTTTTTTGCAAGAAATGTGAAGTATTGCATTTCCCGTACAGAATTGTGAGGGTTTTGCTTTTGTTTGTTTATTTGTCTTAGTACATTTTAGCCGACTAAGCTGTAAGGAGTCCTCACAGCTGTAACTTAACAGGAAGTTAGGCACAGTCATGAGAGGTTTTGCCTTTTACTTGGTTGGTTATTATTCCAAACAGACTATATCTGCTAATAAAATGTACCTCAATAAGGTGTTTATTTTAGCAGACCAAAAATATAAAGCTGAAGGTATCTAGGACACCTCCCTCTGCCTCTGTTTAGCTGTGCTGGCGGTAGAGTTGCTTCCTTTAATGTTTCCAGGCTGTTCCAATGGGAGTCCAATGGAAATGCATTTGCACCAAGGAAACAGAAATTTCTGAGGTATGGCAGTGTTTCCAGGTTCAATTTAAAACATCAGATTTTAGGGGCACAGAAAATAAACGACTAACTCTTAACTATCTTCATCAGTGTCATTTATAAACAAACAGCGTTGACTCTGACTCATCTGTCATACCCCATTCCCAAAATATACACTAAGCCACTCCCAAGTGGCTTATTTGCTATTTTAAAATATAGATACAGATGCAGCATTGTAGAATTTTTTTCTTTTAAGACCTCTGAAGGGCTAATATATCTGCATCACCTCAGTCAGCTACTTCTCTCAGCAACTATGAGGAATTCTCAAAATTTCTTGTAAGTGCTTCTGTGTAATCTTAATATGTTCTTCCTTTTTCTCTTCTTTGCTTTTCTGGTTTCTTTTTCTTGTTGTTTTATATTGCCTGAAAGTTTTGCTACTGTGCATGGGGTGGAAAGACTGGGGCAGTGACTGTATCAGTGAGCATGCACCTCTCAACTAAACTGGAGCATTTTACCCTCCTTCAGAGGTCTTGATCACTTCAAATAGGCAACAGTGGAGGCAAGCTACTGTGTAATGCAGGTGCACATTGTTCTTTGGTAGCAGTTGTTGTGTTGCATTTCTTTTGCTTTAATTCTGACATATTCGGCTGACCTGTCATTTGTTTCTCCAACAAATTCAATAGGAACTTTAATCTCTGAAGCTAGTAATTCTTTCTGGAAATCCTGTTCTTCACAACTTCATGCCTTTGACTTGCGTGGTTTACCCTCACATGGTGGCTGTTGTAATTTCTACTCCCAGTTGTCCTCCATGATCTCTGAGATTTCTGCCCCTGCTCCAGAAGGCCTCAGCTCCCCAGGCAGCTGCTGCATTGTTACTGTGCCACTCTGGAGTGTTAGGGTAGCATGAAGTGTGTGCTGTGTAACCCTAACGCACAGGGATGTCAGCTATGGCATTTCAGCTGCCTCGTAAGTATCAGAGCTGTCTTTGCGGTGTGAGCAGGAATCTGAGAGAGGGGTAGGAACTAAACAATCTGTCTCAAGGTAAGTTTTGTTACAGCCCTGATTCCTTTTCAGTTTTCAGTTATATCTGTCTCAAGGTAAGTTTTGTTACAGCCTTGATTCCTTTTCAGTTTTCCGTTACAGCTGCAAACCTCCTTACATTCCTTCTTCCACTGTTTATTCAGTCATAAATTGATTTCCTGCACGTATAGCCTTTCTCTTAAAAATGCAAACAATCCTGGTCATGTAGAACTATTTAAAAAAAAATTGTAGTTAAATACTCAGGCAACAGATATTTTGTCATGTTTGCACAAAATCAGATTTTGAAGGGAAGGCTTCACATTTGTTGAATCCTTCTCTTGATTCTTTGGATTCACAGAAACTCTCAAAGAGGAAAAAAAATTGTGTCTGGAAGTCCACTGTCATTAAGATGCTGGACTTGAATGTGTTCCCCTAAGGAGACAGAGGAGCCTGAGATAAAAACTGTCAGCTTGCTACCGCTTCTGTGCTCCCCCCCTCCCTCCCACTGTGGAAATTTACCTATAAGCGAACAGTGCATTCTGATGGTTTCAAAAGATTTTTTAACTACTTTTGATTTTTTTTTTTAAGGCCTAAATAAACAAAGACTATTCATAAGTTCTTTTGGTTTCGGCGTTGAATTTTAATTATCTTTCATCCACCATAATAATGATTGGTTCTGAGGTTGGACTTCTATAGCTGTTTGAAGGAATTATGTAACACTGTCCTTTTGGCTGATCTTAAATCTGAAATGCCTTGTGCCTTTACCTATGATGATAAACATGTATCTTGCTTAAAATTAAATTCTGTATCAGAGTCATAGGGTTACAAAAAACTTGTACAGGATTTCCCAAGCAAATCAGATGTGAATATGTTATCTTGTGTGCAGGCACAGTGAAGTGGGTACATTTGGGATCTTTGCCGGTCAGATTATCTGAAGAGCGAATGCCTAATAATGGTCCAGTATTTCTGAATGCTTTGGGACATATGCAGTAGAGATTAGTCTCTCTGTGCTAATAGCACATTTCATAATGTACAGCCAGTTTGATGCTATTCCTTTTTATGCTTCTATACATGTGAAATTTCAGATGTATCTTCAAATTCCACTTATACCAATTTTTCCAAGCGCATTTCTTTTCTGTATTCTTGAAAAATGCAGTTCTGTACAGTGATAATGGAGACAGCTCTTCTGCCTTTGTTTTGACCCAGTAGGAATTTCTACTTCGTTTACTGTGATATATTCCAATCCTGTAGAAGTGATATCTTTCTCCAGAATAAATTCAAATGTGTCTAAAAAAAATTCATCCATTGTTGAGATCTTCATTCTTAACAAAATACCCTCTGCTTCTACCATGATCAAGGAGAGAGAATTTTGTTTAACCACTGTTTAATGAAAATATTTTGCTTTCTTTGCTGAAAATTTATTTATTTATGCAAGTAAATACCCTCATTTTACCTTTGTCTTATTACAGTTGCCTTTTTAATAGTTTGCCATGTGCATTTTAGTATATAATTTCTTCTTTTGGCTAACTATTCCTGTAAATTATGTTTTAATAATTACTGTTAAAAGCAGTGTAGTTAGTTGCACTTCTGCATTTTACTTGTAGACAGTTTTTCTTATTGTCCTACTCAAAATCCACAACGTTGCAGCCATTTAAAGGGTAACAGGGATACTGTTATTCCAACTATGCTGTTAGACTAGGTACTAGTAAGTAAAAAACAAAGCAGAGAGGAATTTTCTGGATATCATTTGTCAGATGAACCTGCTTGTTTTGTTACTTGCAGCTATTTGCATGTTAGTCTTCAGGTGTTTTCTCTGTGAACTTTTCCTCTTCTTGATACTTTGAACAAGTAAATTGTTCCCCAAATCCTAGTTGTACACAGGCTGAAACTATTTGGTAATTCACATTACGGTTGCTAAATTTTGAAAGTTAAGACTGCTTTGAAAGCTAAATATAATTCACAAAAGTTGTATCACCTTTTCTGTAAGAAAATTATCTCAACTGAAAAAACTCTATTTTTCTTTTAATTCAGCTGGTGAACTCATTCACACAGCTGTAGCTATGACTGGTTTCCCAGATAAATATGAGAGAAAGGTAATGAAAGTTGCATTTTCCTCCATGTAAACTGATACTTTCATACCCAGCTACTAGTGCATTTGCTGCTGCTTTTCCAATATTTCCTTCCTTTTTCTTTTTTATTCACTTATTTTGCAAATAAAATTCACCAGTTGCTTGTGCCTAACAGAAGAGTTCTACAATTTGCTGCCTCTGTATTGCCTGGAACAAGATGAGCCTCTTGCAATCTGCTCAGATGAATGCTTGAAAACTTTATAAGTAATGGTCTGAAAAGTAATATTTACAAGTAGTAATTGGGTTACTTTGCCTTGTGGCTGTGTTAAGTTTTTCAGTTTCAAAAAACCAAAAGGAGTAATAACTGAAAAACACATGTGTTTGGTATGTTTTTACTGATACGTAAACTCATTATTTGGGGACCCCTGAGTCTACTTATCTTTTTGTGGTCCTTCCAATGTGCTTCACAAGGCAACATTCATATGAAATGTGTTACTGTAGATATGTCAGTGTTTATAGATGTGTATCTCTAGAAAGATACCTATTAAGCAGTAAAGGTATGTTACTGAAGTTTTAGTCAGTATCTTTAGCTATTTTCTGACTTGAGTTCCCTGCTTTAGCATTGTGAATTAGCAGGTTGGAGAGGAAAAGCACACTCAAGATGTTAGAATATTATGGAAATATATATGGAAATAAAACAGCTATATTTTTATTTTGTTCTTATAAAATTAGTCTTAGTTCCTTGAGTTAAGTACTCAAGTACATACAAAAATCACTGTGTTTGAGGGCAGGAGAATACGGCACTTGAAGGATTTTCATAATTAGAAGCAAGAACATTTTCACATCTTAAATCTCACTTTTTTTGTTACAATTTGAGGAAGGGAAACATTGCGTTTGATCCTTCAAGGTTTGTCCAAATTTGTAATTGCTAAAGGATTTTAGGTGAAAGCTTTTAATCCAGGTGAACTAGCATTAATGCATTCAAATACGTAATGAAAGAGTGCTGATCAGCTTTCAATTGGTAAAATGCATAAATAGAAATCAACTAGCATGCTGAAAGATGCAGGTTGAAGCTAATTGAAGTGCGAAATAGTTTCATAAATTTTTAATACTGAGTTTTGGTATTTTAATAGGCTCTTGTGTAATATTCAAACAGCTGAGCACAAGTAAGTAAATGCTAGTGGGAAAATATTCTGTTACGTAATATAAAACCATATTGTAATGGGCTTATTTGCTACAAGCTACCATTTCTAGAAGCTGAATCTTTTTCATACTATACAAAATGTGAACGTTTTATGTGTGTTAGTGAGAAACAAATCAACCTTTAATGTTTTTGTTTCCTGTCATATTCAGGTGCATTTTTACCATACTGGTGTAGCAAGCTGTACCTAATTTCATCTGAATGCTTATCACATGCTTCTGGCAACGTATGCTTAGGCAGGAGAGATTTGGACAAGAAAGCATGCGATTGCATGTTTAACAAGTCTTCAAACTTTGTTTTGAATTTCACCTTTAAAACAAGAAGCATTGAAATAGGCCTATTGTTTGAATAACCCTCCTCCATTAAGTACATGAATCTTTACCCCTTCAGGCTGTGTTCATTTGCATTTTATCTCTGCCACTCTTCCACACTTTTATTTCACTCTTGACCCTGTTTCTAGGAGATGTGCGAGTAAGAAGTCGGGCAGGATTTGAAACAGAGAGAAGAGGTTCTCATCCATACATTGATTTCCGTATTTTTCACTGTAAGTATTTAAAAGCAGATAAATGACAAATAAACAAAGGCTTCAATTATTTTTAGAGGCCAGGAGTTAAAGTTACCAGCTTATTTCACAAGACCATTTTTTTATACTTCTTAGGGAAATCTTTTGTGCGACGTCATTAGTAAAAATAAGAGAAAAATCTTCACTGCTAAATTCTGTTCTTAAAAATATAGTTTTAAATCCTTGAATTTAGACCTGAATCCCTATGGAAATGAAGACTTTTATATACAGCTGCTGATGTGTGTGCCGAGTTATTACTTGGCAGACACAATCACTTGAGAAGAATACTTTCCTGCTTTTATATAGCAGCAGAAGGGCCTGGTCCAGGATGATGTTTGAAGAGAATTACAGTAGATGTTAATATTCTTGACCTGATCATAATCAGTTAACATTACATATACTCAAACATGTAGCTAGGACTTAAATATTTTGGATCTAGACAAATCTTAAATGAAGATTAAAGTGCTGTAAGAAAACAACAGACTTGAATTTCTTTGTGTTTTAGGAAACATTTTTTCTCAAATGTTAAAAGAATACTAATTTTTGATATTTTCACTTCTTTCTCTACATCTGTACTGTTATAACTAAATATGTCAGTAGTTGTTGTCATAACTACTACCATATAAATATGCAGCAAAAGTGCAGGGGATTTAAATCTTAATACATTAATATTATTGGCATAATTTAATTAAGTGTCATAAAGTATCTGTATCTACATTGTATCAGCACAATTCCAAGTATTCTGAATGGATTGGAGAGGTTCAGAAAAACTGTTTCACGGTAACAAGTGTGGTTGTTGTAATTACCTTACTAATAAAAATGAGTGGCAGAAACTGTGCTAATTAATATTCTGATCTTAACTGAAGTTACTTTTTAAAAAGTAGATCACTATATATATTTAAAACTGTTAAAACTCTTAGTTTCATTCAAAAGTTAGTATCTTAAAATAGGTGAGAAAACAAAGTTTGAAGAGTACACTATATTAATTTTTTCAATACAGAGGATAAGAATTGTCTCATGTCCTGATTAAGTATAATAAAAATTCTCAGTAGAGACAGCATGCGGTTTATGAAATTGCATAACTGTCTTTTTGTATGCGTGTGTATATAATATGTGGCATTTCATGCTGATATGGGAAAATACTAACAGAAGTATGAAAAGAGCTACCTGTTAAAAGCCGGTCATGTATGATATTGCTGTTGTCAAATTAACTGTATTTTCTGTGGCATTCATCATGCTGCTGCTTTCCATCCTGATGATTGTACATCAAGCAGATCGTGACTAATCAGGAAAAGGATTTTCACACCCTTTCTTCTTGCCCCTACTTGTTCAGGCACAGGCACCAACTTTTAGCAACATCAACTGTCGTGTCTGATGACAGCGAGGAATGTTGCTAGGAGGCCCAAAAAATTCTTTGGCTGTAACTTACCTTTCTAGTCAGCTGCTGTGGCAGTTTTCAGAGTTGTCATATTATAGTCAGATTTTTTTCTGCTTCAGGACTGTGGCCTGTTGCAGCTTTGCTCTTTGACTTAAGACTCCTTTTGCTTTGTTGAGTTTCTTTCAAGGTCAATAAAGAGCTCAGCCCCATTTCTCCTCATATCACTAGATTATCTATTAATTTACAGACATTTTTTAAATCAGTAAAATGTTTTATTTTTCTCTGCAATGCTAATTGAGTCCTGGTCACTGTTTCCCTAATTGTTTTAAGCAAAAGAGTTTTAGTATCGTACTGTCAGACTGCGGGTAGAGGGAAGTTGTGGGAATCAGATATGACCTCATCTCTAGGATATTCTCCCCTCCCCGCCCCACCCCCTCCCCAGTAACTCCGGAAGGATTTTGCCACATAGAGCTACATGGATGAAAAACGTTCACTCATGTGAGCAGTAGATGTAGCATGTGAGAGAAGCCAGCCGCCTTTTCTTTGCTTGGGGCAAAAACTGGACTGAAAAGGGTCTCTTCTGCAGCTGAAGCATACTAAACCATCTGAATGTTGGCTTTTTTTTTCCCCCACCGCAGCTGCATACTGAACACCAGTAATGCATGGATATGCTTCCTTCATGGTGGCTGTAGAGTTTCACTCTAATTTTCTTCTACTATGCACTAACTTTACTGTGTGATTCTAAATATTTTGCAATGATCATTGCTTACCTGTTTTGCTGATGAGTTGTATACTGGCTATCATTCACAGTGTTGACGCATTGTTTGCTGTTTTGTATTTTGCTTAGCTAACTTTTGTTGTTTAGCATTATTTTCTTTTTCTGTCGATGTTTTGTGAAGAAGCTGAACATCTTTCAGGAAGTCCAGCTAATAATCTGCTGACCAGTTTTATTTTTCCAATATTTTATTAGTAGGCTCCTAGCCCAGTATTTTATTGGTAGTTTTGAAGAATACTGAATTTTCAATGCATTATTCTTATTTTCAGGAAGCTACTTTTTTGTTGTTGTTTGGGGGTTTTTTTTAAATAATCATTTATGTTTCCTGACATTATTTTTACTTGCAACTTCAACTAGTGTTACCAAAGTAAAGTTTGTTAGCATTTAGTTCTTAAGACCACTTCTGTTTCTTCTTAAAGATTATAAACTCAGTGTCTGCATCTTCATCCCAGGTTCTGTAACTGGCACATGAATATTCAAGTTTCTGAATTGGGTAGAAGTATTCTCAATGGTAATTTCTTTCTAGGAAATATGATGTTAAAATGATTGTTGGAAAAAAGTCCTTTTTGTTGTTGCTAGAGATGGTGATAATGGGAGTCACATCTGAGGATTACTAAATGCGCAATTTGACTGATGATCAAACTAAGTTTGAGTGGTAATTTTCCTTCTATGTTGTCCATTATTCCAGAAGTCACATTTTTGTAGCTAATGGCAGGAACTAGCCAGGAGGAATAGCTCAATAAACAGTTTTATTTCAACAAGACTGTTTCCCAATGAATGAGGAAAGTCAAGATTGTATTCTTCATGTTGGTTGGTAATTTGTTAACATGAGGACATCAATTAGTAGTTTTTTTGTTTCTGTGGCCTGTTGTTTATGTCTGTGTGAGACCACGGGCATAAACTCAAGTTAGCAGCTAAAACTCGCCATGTCTGGAGAAGAAAGAGCAGCCACAGTAACTTTCTCCTTCAGAAGTAAATTTTTATCTGAAATATAATGGTCTGGTTTTGTTCAATGGATGTACATATTTCACAGTTACACAGTAAACTGTGTACACTTTAATATTTCGAGTTTAATATAGAGCACTGAATCTTATTTTCACTCCTCAGGTAAAAAGGAGAGAGTTTGTCAGTTTACTGTCTGACAACCCAGCATGTACTGTTTGGTTTTCAGGGAAGTTACTGAAAAAGTGATTGCAGTGGTTATAGCCACTCTTGCTCTCTGCTGATTTACAAATAGACTATGGGATTACTTTTTTTTTTGCATTACTCAGGACATCATAGGTAATAATTCAGTCTGCAATGCTGACAGAATATGTTGATAAAAGCTAATGCAAAAGAAAATATTTAGTAGAAGAATTGGTAAATAACAGTATAAAAAATACTCCCTTTTTCAGAAATAGCAAGCCATCAATAACATTTTAAGTTTTGTTTTCTTGCTATTGAGATGTTGCCAATAACATCTATAGTTTTTATGTACGTGAATCTTTGATTATGTTTGTGAGGATTTTCTAGCACGCACAAACAAAAGCATATATAATATGCCCCAATCACTCACTGTTTGACCTGAAAGAGAAACCCAATCAGCTAATGTGCTCGGTGATATGTACAGTATGTTGTAGTGAGGAAGCGAGGCCAAAATGAGGAAAGTGAAGCTGAAGTGAATAGTTAACAGCAAAAATATTGGGACTTGTCTTATGCAGATAAAACTTACATTAACACTTTCAAGCTTCCTTTTTAGGAAAGGGTTGTTTCATATAGTCTGGAAGAACCAGATAAAAACTGAATACTTGGTTTTGTGGAGAGGAAACTTTTTCTTCTTGCTTTTCCTGTTGTATCTGTCAAAAGGTTTTTAGAATTCTTTCCTGCCACTCTAGTCTGAGACACTCCTCTGGGGAGATGGTGATGTTGCCAACACATGTGGCTCTCTTTTGTGTTTTATAGATAACCGAATATATCATATCTGTGAATTAAAATATCCTGGAAAGAAGAAAGGATTTTTGAGTTAATCAGTATGTTTCTGTAAACATATAGGAAGGGCTCAATTTTGAATCAAATTGATGCTTGCATACAGTACAGTGGTTCACATAGGAGACAAGACAATGTGATGGGAGCTTCAGACTTCATTAAGGCTTAGGTGGTTCTCCTTAGTTGTTTATGGAGCCTTTTTCGTGGGGAAATGAAAGGAAGAGTTTTTAGGTGACTTATAGGTGATGGATAAATCTAATTCTCTTTCTTAAGAGCGCAAGCACATGAAGAAATTCCAGATTTTGCCTTTGGTATGCATCTTTCATACTGTTTACTTGGAAATTGCAGTTTACGTAACATTTTATACAGTACTTTGAGATTTGGCAAAGGTGTCAGCATCTACTGTTTGCAGTGTTGTTTTGAACTTTTCAGTTTCTTGGAAAAGGTTTACCTTGGACAGTGAATTTAGACTTCCCTTGGGTGCAAGGCCAGAAGTCAGGGAAGAGTTCAAATCCAAACTGATTGCCTTAAACAATTTGGGAAATCTTTGTGTAACAGCACCTGATGATGCTTTTGACAGTATCATCTGGAGGGATACTGAGATAAAATGAGCATAGTCCAGATGAAGCTAAATGCCCTTTTTTTATTTCAAGAATATAGAGGAATTACCTAGCTGAATCTGATTAAGAGTAATTGTCTGTCTTGTTCAACAGTCTACTGTGAAGAAGGGTGAGTTTCACAATGAATAAAGTCATGCAAGAAGATTTCTGTGTGGTCATAGGTTGAAGTAAGTATTTGTTTCTCTGTGAAAATGTCAGCAATGAGGAGTGAAAAGCTTGTACTCAAGAGATTTCTCTAGAAGCT